CCCTCTCCCACTCCCCCTGCTTGTGTTCCCTCTCTCGCTGTGTCTCTCTCTGTCAAATAAATAAATAAAATCTTAAAAAAAAAAAAAAAGAAATGCAAATTCTCAGATCTCACCCCAGACCTGCTAAGTCAGAATCTCTGGGACTCAGGCCAAGAAACCTGTGTTTTAATTAGCTGCAGGGGATTCTGATGCACCTAGTTTGAGAAGCACCATCCTACATAATTATTGTGGGAAAGCACATTTATCACCACCTAAGTCATCTGTACAAGTCCTAAAGTTCTAAATGAAGTGATCCTATTGTTATGGACTGAATGATTGTGTCCCTCGAAAATTCCTCTGTTGAAGTCCTAATCCCCATGTGATGCTAGTTGGAGGTGGGGCCTTTGGGAGGTAATCAGGTTTAGGTGAAATCATGAGGGTGGGGTCTCCACGATGGAATTAGTGTTCTCACGAGTGCGGGAAGACGCGGAGCTCGCTTTCTGTCCACATGGTGAGGCCACGGCGATAAAGTAGCTGCGAACCAGAAAGAGAACGCTCACGGGGGAGCTGAATTGGCCGGCGCCTCTGTCTTTGACTTCCCAGCCTCCAGAACCGTGAGAAATAATTTCCCGGGGTTAAAGCCGCCTAGTTTGTGATATTTCGTTACAGCAGCCTGAGCTGACTCAAACACCCACCGAGTAGCGTCTTAGTTACTGGAAAAGAACTTAACAGCGATGCAGTTAGTGGAAGTATTGGAGAGGACAACAGCTGCTGCTGTGGGGGATACTTGTTAGAATTCCAGAAATAAACTGTCCTGTTGAGGTGCCAGTAAGCAAAAGTAAAGGCCGTTTTCCCATTCTGTGGAACTGTGTGACCACATGCATATGAACCAGGCGAAGGAAACTTTTTAATGCTCCTGCCTCAAGTTCCCAAATTCTAAGCTAAGCTATTAACATAATCATGTATATTTATAGTATTAGGTTTTAGGAAAGAGAACCTCCTTAAGGGTTTTAAAGGGAATATCTTTCTGTACGTTTTCCCTATGACTTTTATTTTTATGATGTACCATCTGCCTCCAGACCAGAGAAAGCAGGTGCTTGGAATTTGGGCAGACCCTTGCAGCAGATTGCTCCTTCTGATAACAGAAGTCTTGGTTTAGCTGTTTAAAATAAGGATAAAAATGGCCTGGCTCTTGAAAGCACTAAAGTTCTGTTGTTGGTCACCAATAGGTAAATAGATAACTGACTCTCTTGCTTCACAGTGTTTGGGTATTATTGTTTGGGGAGAAGGCATAGATAAATGAGCTCTTTGTGTTGAAATTGGGTTTTTGAAACTCCCTTTATGATTATAAGCAGGTGTGGATTGTGTATTTATTAGTTCCTTTAAATTATTTCAATAACCAAAGCCCAGCTCGGAACTAAGCTGTTTAACAGATAATGATTTTGGTTTATGGTATGCTTTTTATGATTTCTGAATTGTTGGTTCTCATCTTGGTGTCACAGAGTTCATTTCGAATGCTGTCATTGGGTGAGGGTCCATGTAGCCCAAGGACATGGACCTAACTGAGCTAGTCTCTTTCAATTATATGGACTCGGGTGGTTAGTGGCTATCCTAGTGACACTAGACAATTTCCAGGACTGACGACTAGGTCGAACCTACGTTGTCCAGATCCAATACGGTGGTTTCACAACAACTTCACCTTTGTTTTGTAGCAGTCTATAATATGAAACAGGCTTCTGAAAAACATTGTAAGCTAACCTGTGTAACTTAATAATTCCATTCTGTGCCTAAAAACAAAAATGTTACCAATCTGGCTTCATACTACATTATAAAGAATATATAAGGCGAGTTCAAATTGCTTTGGAAAGTTAATGGTCTATGAAAACTGAAGCAGTAGCTAAGACAGAGGAATGTTGATATTCCATAAATATACCAATAAAAACAAAATTTAAGAAAATCCTAGTATTTTACAATTGTTTAAAATCCTTTTCTTTCATTCCCTTTGAAGCAAATGTATAAAATTCCCTGCTTGGCCCCTAAGTGTTTATAAGCCCTAATAGGAAGAAAATTACTATAGGACACAGGCTGTGTGGGAGCAAGGAGGGCCCCCAGAGACGGCTCAGTACCACCTTGTTTGAGGGAGAGGAAACAGAAGCACAGAGCGGTGAAGTGACCTCTAACCTCACCATAGAGTTTTCTCACCCACCACTTGCCCCAGGAAGGTCCTTTCCCATTCTAGGCTGATCAGCCTTGAATGAATAATTGCCCAGCCATGTTTTTCTGGCAACATAATCCTAAAATATGCATGCATTACATTTTATTGATTAATGCCTCCCACAGTCATGTTTTTGTTGTAATTGATTTCGTATTTTATGGTAGGATCAGAGTAGCCCCTTTAGCCATACTCAGAAGGAAAATGGGTGGCTGAGGAGCTGGGCCATCAGGCCTCTTTAGAGAGAACTGTGTTCTTGTCAAAACCGGTAGGAGAGTAAGGGGGAAAAAAAATGGAGTACTGAGAAATCTTAGATGGCCAAGGAAGACAGTGCATGGTACTTGCCGGCCTCACTTCTGAGAGTTGTTTGAGCTACAGCCTTCCCGTGGCGTGAGCTAGGAGTATTCTCCTTCCTGGTCAGCATTGAGGAAGTACTATTTATTAAACACCTGGCGGGGCCGCAGGTCTAACAGTTGAAGACCTAACTCCTGATAGGCTCTCCAATCTCAGGAGGCTTGAAACGAATGGTATTTCAGGAACTAAAACTGTAGGACACATTGTTAATATTCTGAAAGGATCAGTGGGCGCCAGCAGAGTCGTGTAGCCATACACAACAGTGCCATCTTGTGGAGAGTCAGCATAGCGCCTGGAAAAGAACCACTAACCAGAGCTGTGATACAGGCAAAAAGAATTGAATAGATACTTTGAAATCTCCTTAACTAAAATCCCTTTACCTGAAACAACTTATATCATCGCTATTAAGGGTATTGTAATTCCAAAAGAAGCTACTTCTTCGGAAAAATTAGTGGTTCTGTTTTGTTGTTGTTGTTTTTTTTTTTTTAGTTAGAAATAAAGTGCATTAACCACGAGCAAAAGTCAGCTGCCTTAGGATGGAATCATACATAGTATTGGAATTTTCCTCTTGGAAATACTGAATCTTTGTTCATTTAGAGAGAACCCAGCCAAGATTCAGAGACTGAAGTACAAATATAACATGTTTAAGAAGATTAGGAGAATTTTTAAAAGATATCCTCCATCCCCAATTTCTTTTTTTTCCTCACTTACTGTATCATAGGCTTCTAACCAGTAGAAACAGAATAAAGTGATGATAACTGATGTGGGAAACAAAGGCAAAAGAAAAATTATTGAATTTCCGTACTATCTACAACCCATTGACCAGTCCTTGAAATAGGCAGAGTGACCTTCCTCTAGGGACTCAGCTGCCTCGATGTTAATTCTTTGCTAAGGGCAAAAGGCAATCTTAGCCCAACCTCCAGGACCCTGTATGTCTACTTTAACATAAAAATTCCTTTGGAAACTTCCTTTATCTCTACCCCCCAAGATACATGTTGGCAATCATCCCCCAAGCAAATGATATACATCTGAAGGGTCTCATGACTGAGGTTTTTTTTAAGATTTTATTTATCCATTTGACAGAGAGAGAGCACAAGCAGGGTTAGCGGCAGGGAGAGGGAGAAACAGGCTCCCCACCAAGCAAGGAGCCTGATGCGGGGCTCAATCCCAGGACCCCGGGATCATGACCCAAGCCGAAGACAGACGCCTAACCGACTGAGCCACCCAGGCACCCCTCATGACTGAGTTTTTACTAAACAGTAATAAATGACCTTTTCTCAACAATAGCTAGCCCCCTCAAGGGCCTGGAAACCTTGCTTCCAAAATTCCTTAGAGACTTATGCTATCCCTAACCCCTTCCCAACTTGAAAGTGTATAATGGGCCGCTCCTCATGACCCCAGTACAGCTCTTTCTGACCACGGGTTCTGTCCCTGTGCTTTAATAAAACCACCTTTTTGCACCAAACACATCTCAAGAATTCTTTCCTGGCCGTCGGCTTTGAACCCTAACATCTTTTCCTACATCAATAACCACAAGGTAGAAGTCAGTGTTCATAGAAAATACAGCGTTTCTCTTTGAGGAAAAATTATTTAAAGCATAACTAGTAAGCAAAACACAACAAAAAGAGGCAAAGCATCACCAGGCTTACTACA